GTTCGTAAAATCCGATTTTTTGAGAAATAAAGTTAGTTTAGTTGTCTGATAATGTGTATTTATGTATTAATGCTCAGCTTGTCACACCCGTCACAAAGTCAAGCCCCACCCGTCACAGTTGAATTTGGAACATATAATCTATAATTTCCAATAGAGGTAAGCAACTTTGGCGTAAATGTTGAGAGTGTTTATTTAACTATACAATGAACTATTTAAAACCATAAGCAGACGACATAATTAAGAGGAAACTCTGACGCAAGTAAGTAGTAGCTAATTTGGTTTGCGTACTTGTCATACCCGTCACAGTGGCTAAAATTCAGATAACTCGTTCGGACAAATTTTTTTTTTTTAATTTTTTTCTAGGCATTGTGTATATCACGGAAAGCTATTAGAAAATACTCATTTTAAAGAATTTTATATTACAGTTTAAGAATTAAGCCTTAGAATGTGAGTTGAAATGTCACACCCGTCACCGTGGAATGAGCCAAATGTCTTATCCACACCTTTGTTAGTTTTATAATAAAAATAATTTTGCACTAAGGTTCAGTTTCTCATGGAACTTCCCATATGTAAAAATATACAAATGAAAATTTCTTACCAATCCTAAATCTCTTTATTTACATAATTAATTAATTAATTATTCCCAACGGCTTTTTACCCTCCATTCCCGCCCAACCGACACGAGGGGCGCAGTCCGCATGACGTACGGAACCTTTTTTTTTTTTTTTGTTTTTTTTTTAGTTTTTTCGTGCCGAGTAGTGGAAACAGGAGTTTGTTAAGTGTCGAGATCTAAAACTATTCAGCTACAGAATCAAATTCATCAGCTGATTGGATATGCTAAAGATAGTATTTCAATTATTGAGAGTGGAAATAATAGTTTTCTTTATAGTAAAAATCGAGTCCGATACGTCAAACGTGCTGGAATGACAGTTAAAATCTTGACATAAACCACGGAATGATTCGTTTAGTTCAAAATTAGTTTTGCATGGCTTTAAAAATAGAGGTCGAAAGTGTCTTGACATTCGAGAAGGAACATTAAAATTTACCTCAGCCAGGAGGGCCGGGCTATTAATCAAGCCTGTCATTAATTTTACGATAAATATTATACCCAGCATTTCTCTACGACTTGCGAGTGTAGGCAAATTTATGAGCTTTAGACGACTTGTGTAAGGGGGGAGATTGTAATCTGAATCCCAGTTAAAATTACGCAATGCAAAAAGCAAGAATTGTTTTTGAATTGATTCAATCCTTTCTGAATGAACTTGGTAGCGGGGATTCCAAACAATAGATCCGTATTCTAGTATAGGTCTAACTAAACTGGTAAAAAGAGCTTTTGTAACATAAGGATCTTTGAACTCTTTTGACCATCGCCTTACAAATGCAAAAACGCCTTTGGCTTTATTGACTGTAACATTAATATGATGGTTGAAATTCAGTTTGGAATCCATTGTGATACCAAGATCGACAAAATTGGATACTTGCTCCAGATTATAATTTGATATTGAATAAACAGCTGGTTGAACAGCCCTCCGAGAGAAACACATAACTTTACATGTTTGAAGGTTTAGTGGCATATAGTTTGTATTACACCAACTAACCACGTTGTTCAGATCCGCTTGTAACAAAGACCTTTCTTCGATAGAGGACAATGTTTTAAAAATTTTCACATCATCGGCATACATTAAAATGTTTGAATGTTTTATTATAGAAGAAATATCATTAATGAATATCAGGAACAGAATCGGACCAAGGTGGCTTCCCTGAGGAACTCCTGAAGAAACTTTAATGATGTTGGAAGAACAATTATTAACAATAACTCTTTGTGTTCTATCAGAGAGGTAAGATGAGATCCATTGAAGAAGACTGGGCTGAAAGCCGATTAGGTCGAGTTTACGGATGAGTAACGAGTGCCATACTTTGTCAAAAGCTTTACTGGTTAACAATAATTGCTTCGAATAATTTGGGGATAGCGGAGAGTTTCGCTATGCCTCGATAGTTTTCTATAGACGACCTGCTGCCGTTTTTGTGAAGTGGTATTATGAAAGACTCCTTCCAGGCAGACGGAAAAACGCCATGTTTAAGCGACAAATTGAATAGAGTTGTTAAAGGCTCGCAGATGTTCTCAGCGCAGTTTTTAAGAAAACAGGTCGGAATATGATCAGGTCCAGGCCTAAATGACGCTTTTAAGGTTTTTAAAGAGTGTAAAACTTCATCGGAAGATATTACTGGAATATAAGTAGAGTTGATTGGACAAAGCTCGTACGGATAGTCTCCACATATAGGGAAGTCTACAGAATAATTGGACCTAAAGAACCGAGCAAACATGTTGGCAATGAGTTGGCTGTCGCTAGATACAGTGTTGCGATAATGCATAGCGGACGGAAAACCATGTGCCTTACGCTTTGAATTTACGAAACCATAAAATGATTTAGGATTGTTAATTAAATTCTTCTTAATTTTACATAAATATGAATTATAACATTTCTTATTTAATGCAAAGTAGCTATGCCGCAAAACTGAGTACCTTAGGTAATCACTGTGAAAGCCCGTTCTTTTATACAGTTTAAAAGAGTGCGACTTTTTATTTTTCAATTTTTTAAGCTCTTTAGTGAACCATAATTGTGTTGGTTCTTCATGAACAATATTACGTATTGGCACATACTTTCGAAAGAAATTGAAAACAGTATCATTAAAGTGCTCAACGCTACGCTCCACGTCATCTCTATATATTGGCCAAGATAACTTTGAAAGTTCTTTGTTAATTTTCCTGAAATTTGCTTTCGCAAAAACATATCTAGTACTTGAACTTGACTTATTATTATGTATTTCATTTATGATTTCGTAGCTTAACTCAAGAGTAGGATGGTATGCATCTTCCGGCAAAACCAGGGGATCACACCGATTAATAGAGGCCTTCGGAACATCATCAACGTAAACGAGATCCAAGACCTTTCCAAACTTATTTGGACATATATTTATTTGTTTGAGGCAAAGTTCAGCCATTTCCTCCAGAAATACATTGTAACTATCTCTAGATGAAACTGGTACAACATCGGTGTCAATGATGTTCCATGAAATATGTGGCAGATTTAAATCGCCCAAAACAATCATAGAATCGGATGCCGTAAGCATTGCATTTACGGTCTCAAGTAAAGAAACTAGCTGCATATATACCGATACGGCAGAATTAGGAGGGATGTAGCAAAGAGCTAAATAAATATAAGTCTTTCCAGCCTGTACACGTATACATTTAAATTCGGTATATTCAATGACAGGAAGACTAACTTCCTCGGATGGTATCGATGAATGCACCGCAAAAAGAACACCACCGCCGATTCTGCCCACGCGGTCAATCCTGTATATTTGATATTCATTTGGAAGAATTTCGGAATTAGAAATATGAGGTTTGAGCCATGTTTCGGTCAAGGAAATAATATTATAATTGCAGTCAAAACCTTTTAAATATAAATCAGTTAATTTGGTATTCAAACCTCTAACGTTTTGATAGTAAATACTTAAATTAGACTTGCGAGTTAGTTTTTTGAATCCGAATTAAGATTAGAAATTTTAGCTACGTTATTATTACTTTTATTAGGTTTATACTCAAACTCGCGAACAAACGCCCCGGTCGGCCAAAATGAACTATTTAGTAGTGAATCAAAATCTTCGGAAGCTACATCAATTTTAAAAGATGAAATATCGCGATCGTATTTAAAATTAAATTTACGAATAAATACATCTTTAGTTCTAATTTTAGTCGATATGTATGACTTTACATCATCCGAAGAAGTATCTTTAGCAAATCTAGAGACAAAGATTGATCTTCTCGGAGGAATTACAACCAACTTTTTGGTAATGATGTCTGATGTGCGGGGCTCCGAATTATTCGGAGGAACTAAGTTAGACAGTGGAGTTTGAGATGTTGATGGCAACACTGTTAAATCAACGGTTTGACTATTTTTAGAAGTAGACCTAGTGGATATGGCTTTAGAAATTGGGGGCTCCAATGCCTGAGGGCATGGAGAAGATAAATTAATAAGTTCTGAGGACTGGGATGAAGGATTTTTTTTACTAGAATCCGTGGCTGTCTTTTTAGGTGGACTAATAACATGCCCACCTTTATTTTCTCGGCTATCCTCAGAGTGTGTAGGGTCGTCGAGACAAGTGAAAGACCTAAACATTTTTTCGTAATGCTTAAATTTCTCAACAAGCGCCGACAGATCCTTCCCGATCTCAGAAAAACCATTTCTGGACTGCCTGAAGAATTTAAATAAATCAACTTCGGTTGATCTACATTTTTGACAAGACCAACGAAGACCCTTACCCTCGTTAATAGCGTCTAAAACTCTACCGCTCAAACCAGCACATTTTATATGGGCAATCCCATCGCAGAGCCAGCATGACACATAGGAGTCGCTTTTAACGTGGCAATTGGTGTAAATACACGACATGTTTAAAATTATATTTATTTTTAGGTTTTAGAAGCAAAAAGGCAAAAACGGTTTTGAAAACGATGTATTAATCAGTGAACCAATCAGCTGGTAAATATCAGTTAGCGAACAGTTTTAGATGCACTGTATATTTGACACCTAATAAACACAACGCAAACAGCTGTGACAAAGATGAAACGGCAGAAATGACAAAAAGACAAAAAGAGCCAAATCAGTGTGCACAAACAAAAACAATTGTACAACAACAATATATTATATGAAACAAAATACTCGGCACATGCAATTAAGAATATCAAGTTAAATTAATCAAATTTACGGGAAATTCCGATGTTTTACTTATCTTTAAATAGTGCACCAGAAGTTTATTAACACTTTTTTTAATTTTTTACTTTAATAAGCGTAAACAGCTTTATCAAACACAAAATTTAAACAGATCACAGAAAAACACAGCTTCACAGCTTGACGTTTGCGCTCAAAAAAAAAAAATATTTTCGAAATAAAATGTCTGTAATAGATACATTGAATTACAAATCAAAAAATGTTAATCACCGCGAGAGTATTCTTCTTCTTCTTCTTATTTGGCGCTGTAACCGCCTAAACGATTTTGGCCGAGTCCAAAACAGCACGCCAGTCATATCTCTTCTGTGCTAACTGACGCCAATTGAAAATGCCAAGTGAAGCCAAGTCCTTCTCTTCTGTCCATCCGAACGACATGGCCAAGCCAGCGGAGCCGCTGAATTTTAATTCGCTGCACTATGTCTATATCGTTGTAAAGCTCATACAGCTCATCGTTAAATCGTCTGCGATATTCGCCATCACCAACGCGTAAAGGTCCGTAAATCTTTCGCAGAATCTTTCTCTCGAAATCTCCAAGAGCCGCCTCATCAGATGCTTTCATTGTCCATGCTTCCGCGCCATACACCAGCACAGGCATGATGAGTGACTTATAGAGTGTGATCTTTGTACGACGAGAGAGGACTTTACTTCTCAATTGCCTACTCAGCCCAAAGTAGCACTTGTTGGCAAGAGTGATTCTCCGTTGGATTTCAAGGCAGACATTATTATTGGTGTTAATGCTGGTTCCCAAATAAACGAAGTCGTCTACTTTTTCAAACTTGTAACTGTCAACAGTGACGTGGGTGCCAAGACGCGTATGCTCTGACTGTTTGTGTGCTGACAGGAGATACTTCGTTTTGTCCTCGTTCACCA